GCGAGAAGATGCGACCCGTCTCATATGGCAGCGGCCTTGCCAGCTGCGCATGCAGGCAACAGTTGCCGTTAGACGCGGCATTACCAGCTCTTACAATGAGTGTGATTAAAACACAGACTAATGCTTAAGTTTTATTTGATATGCTGTCTACTGATGCTAATTCGATAGATGTCTTTTTAATTCTTACACAAAAGGTGTAACCCACAACCCATCGATTATATATATTCTTCATCAATATCAGCAACCGTGTCGATATAGAGTTCTCCTCCTGTTGGTTTCTATGAAAACTAGTAGTTTTAAAGTTGTCATCTGGTCTGCATTTCTGGTGCACCCAGTACATAGTTCGAATCGGATCACTAAGCCATATAGCTCCTATTTGAATAAGCTGTCGAAAAGTTGGTTCTTGTGTGGAATACTTTTTTATTCATCAATATATCTTGAGCGAAATCGGTATTTAAAAGTTTCACTGTGCTCTCTATATATATGCAAAATCTTAACAACATCGGACCCATATATCATATTGCTGTCATAGGATCGATCGGTCGAAAATTAAGTTATTGTGAGATCTTTACAAAACTGTGGACCTTCTAGTTATATCTTATCATATACAGAGATACTATATTATAAAGCTATATCGGAAGAATATGTCGAAATATGAGTTTATGTTTGAAAAAGTATTATGTTTTTTAAGATATCTTTACTATTAGCAACAACGAGGTTTTCACACGTATATTTAATCGTCAGCGTGTCGAAGATAGTCGTTCCCTTTAAAATTTCTTTGTTATTTGTATAATTTTAACTAAGTGTTGACGCCACCTACCGGTCAGCTTGGGCAAAAGGCAATTTTACGGCTGGGGAACTACTTTATTAGCATGCAACAACATAACAAATGCAAAAATGTCCAACTGAAAAATACATTCAACTAGGAAATGAAAAAGAGCACTGTCACTGACAAGGATGCGAGAGAGGAAGAGAGAGAGAGAGATAGAGATAGCGAGAGAGATAGAGAGCGAGATGGGGAAACAGAAGAAAGAGCATTCTGACAGCACGCCATTTGGGCACATGGCAATTTCCGTCGAGAGCACATGACAAAAATTGTAGAGTATGTCACAGGACGGATGCGGTGGTGCGGTGAATGCGGTGCTGCGGCCGTACGTTAGTAAGGCAAATTCTTTTTGGCCAAACTCTAACAAAAAGTTAAAGGTTTAATTGTGCGCAACGCTTAAAATGCAAGGCTATACAGACAGAGGGGGAGAGGAAGTTGCAGGTTTGTGCTGTGAGTGCAACATCTGTGACAAGTTTTATTAAGTTTATTTTATATTTTCGCATTTGCTGGTGTGCGCAGAGGAGAGGAAAAGGGTTAACGACGTGCTATCACAATTTTGTCGGCTTGCATTGTGTTTGTGTGTGCGAGTTCGTGTGGTCAGCAGGGTAAAGAGATGCTTTGTTGCAACTTTGATAAAATCAAATGTGGATGCTATAAATAGAAGTTAGTGAAGTCTGGGGCATAGTGAGTGTTGGCCTTTCACATACAATTTTTAGGCAGGTTGCTTACACACACTTGACTCAATGGCCTTTGCAAGCTAGAGTCAGCTTCAGCTGAAGTTGTCGCATGCCGGACAAAGGTCACTTAAAGCGCTCGCATACTCGTAAAACGTTTAAATGAAAGAAAAGCTAAGGGTTACAAGCGCCAGGGTGTGGGGAGTCGGGGAAAGAGCGAAGGAGCTGGTGGAGCGGCAGGTAATGCATATCCTCGAGGGTAGCTCGTCGGGTGTGTAAAATATTTAAGTGCCATCAGTTGCAGTCATACTTTTTTAATTGACTTATCAATAATTCATGCGAAAAACACACACGTATGCACACGAGGCAGCGGGTTAAAGGGTAAGCTAGAAGGAGACAGGACATACGCCACACATTCATAAATACAAATGAAGTCAGCGGCTGAGCGCGAACGCGAAAGGTGTGACAAGTGTGAGAGATTCGAGCTGTTGGCCAGGTCGACGACTTGGAATATTTATACACATATGTATGTCCTGTGCACGCCCTGCCACGCCGAGTGATGCAAGGTAGCAGTCAGGAATGTGCCCATTGTATACGGCAAAAAATTCTATTTTTAACTTAAGCCTTAATAAATTTTATAAGATTTTTAAATAGCGGCTTTATTTTTTTATGTAAATATATATTACAAAAATATTATTTTGGTTTCTGACTTGTTTTAACTAAAAAGACTGGGGAGTAGGTTGAACGGTAGGTGGGTTGCATCGGATGAGTGCAAAAAATAAATATTCGGATGATTTTTCAACCCAAAAATCGTTACAAAATCTTATGCATTAGATTCTCAGCAGATTTCATTCATCTCATATATATTATTGCAGACACTTTAGCATAGCGCCCAGTCTATAAACCAAATTTGTTTAAGGTAAGAATAAAATTCCTGCCTTTGAGTTCGGTTCATAAATCCGATTTTAATCATCCCATAAGCCCAAGTTTTGGTTTCCCATATGATTACAGAGCTTTAATAAGGCAATTCATATTAAAATTTAGATATTTTCATATAGATGTTGAAGATTAAATTTTTTATCTACTTTGAATTGGCATCTACCGAATGTGGTTAGATAAATCCAAGGGTTGGGGCCCAAATTATGAAATCATTAGAGCTGAGTCTCAATCGAAAGTTTGTGGAATTAAACCAGAATATCTTTGAGCAAGATATGGGTCGATTCTGAAGTTATTTGCGTGTTGGTTAAAGGTAAAAAATTAGGTGGAAGTTCGGGTGAATATTTTATTGATTATCATTAATCATATGACTGTTGTTATTATATGTTACATTTATGCTAAGATGGCTTATATTATTGTTGCAAGTATATTTTGCAGTATTCAGCCATTTCGCCCTATATTTAATTTGATTAATTTGAAGCGACAGCAGAGTTATTTCGGTTTACTGAATTCCTGCTGCAAATATTTTTCATTTTCGTGCTCATCTTTATCTTGTGCTCCACTCTTGGCAATTTCAACTGCAGCCCAAAGTGGAAGCACGTGATTGATGCATTTTTAATGCGCATTTTGGGGTAGCAGTTTAATGCATTACACTAAAGGGGTTGACGGAAGGGATGTGAAGAGCGGTGGCGCGGACTGGGAATTGGGCCCGCAGTGGTTATATCCGCAATTTTTGTTGTTGATGTTGGAATTGCGCATTCGTTTGAAAATTGCAATTGAGTTGCGCGCCATTATTAAGCCTTTAAATAAATTTAGTTGACATCTCGCTTGCATCACATTATAAATATTTTGCGAGAAACATAATCAGGGCAAAGGTTGAGGACGCAAACAAAAGCAGCGCAGTAGAGCATTATGCATCAAGGAAAAAATCAAATTTAACGCATCGCTTCCATTCGTGCAAAGGTTGCCCAAGGAGGAGAATCTTGTGAATGCGCCTCGCTTGCTGAATGCTTTGAGTTTGGGCTCTGCGCCCTGGGCTGCTTAAAGAAAGGCCACGTAGCACTTGACATGAGCGGAGACAAATACACACACACACACATATACTCGCACATGCACTGAGAGGGCTCGCAGGAGGGCGTTTAAGTATGATTTAGGGCGTGGGTGGGGACCTTGGGCACGTGCCGTCGGATAACGCGCCGTTGCTCAGTGGGAAGTCGCCGCCAAATGAAAAAGAAGCAGCGTGAAAAATGTGTAGCATATGACAGGGCGCATAATCAAAAGTAAAGTAAACCAAAGGCTGGCCGAATCCGCCGGCCGAGCCAGCGCCGCCAGCCTCTTCAGCTGCCTGATGCACATGCCCGCTTACATTGGGGGCGCAGAGGCGAGCTGCTGCGTTTGGTTCTTATAACACAATATTTCACTCCATCGAAAAAGAAGGGAAAAAAAAACAAAAGCCAGTTCAAAAAAATTTTACGCCCGAGCTGCCGGTTGATGTAGCGCGCAGAGCTCTACACATGAAAGTGGCATTGGTAATGGGCTAGAGATTAGAATGTCTGTGTGGCTGTGCGTGGGTGTATGTGTCGGTGCTTGTGAGTGGGTGTGTGTGCGTGGGTGAGTGTTTATGTGTGTGCGTGTGTCTATGTGTATAAATGTTCATATACACGCACTTGACATTTCAATCATAAGTCTGTTTGCGAACGGCTTATTATCTGCGCTTGGACTTTTACCATGCAACTCAAATATTCACCAAATTGAAGCAAATATGTTACGTTAACGTTGCTGGGATAATATTAATAAGTATTACTATAATATGACGCATCTCTCATTATATTATGCTTGTTTAATGTGAAAAACAGTTTCATATGCAATTCTATCAGAGCTAAATGTACTTCTGAAAAAATTTATGCTGCCGATTACTTTTAATAAGATTTATTAATGATATTTATGCATGCATTTATATTTAAATTGGCCTGAAATATTCGATGTTCTAGGGTTTATCTAACTTTATTAGAATTTTTTTTTTTCTTATGTATGTGTTCTAAATATTAACTATCCGCGAATTATTTTTCACTTTATTTTCGAATACAACTCATTAATTTAATCGCCCAAGGTGCGAACAGAGATCCGCTGTTGTAACGTTTACTTTAACAACGTTTATATTCCTAAAAGACTCTAGTTAATAAAACAGAAGAACGGAAATTTTTCTTTGCAAGAGCTTCTGATTTCAAGTTTGAAACGCAATTTATCATTTTTAAGTGTATTCTCTGTGGTCCCATTCTGCAGATACTTTTTTAAAATAACAATTGGTTTGATCTCCCTTGCAGTTAACTACCTTTGAGCCACTTTTATAATATTAAACAAAAACTAAAAGTATTTCTTGGCTTCTATCGCAACGGCCTCTACTCGAATTATATTTTGGATCACTTGAGCAGCATTTGGCCACATCGATGTGGTGACTTAGTTGGAAAAAAAGTAGACTCTTAGTTGGCGACTCCAAAAGTTGGCCGCAACAAACTCGAGTTTTGTCTGCCCTCCTTCCCTTGAAAATGGTTTGTGGCACTTACCTCTTCCTCATTGCTGGCCGTGTTTACGGAGTCCATGCTCTGTGATAGTCCCAGCGGGGCAAGCGCCATCTGATTTTCCATTATGCTGGCGTCTCTGCTGTTGTTGCCGGTTATTGCTGTTGTTGTTGCTGCTGTTGTGTTTGTGTTGTTGTTGCTGTCGCTGGCGACTGTTGCTGCTGTTGCCGCGGCGCTAACGCTGCCCGCCGGCGAGGGAGTTGTCGGCGCTGAGATGGACGCTGACTCGTGCGACTGTGACTCGTGCGCGGAGCTGCCCGGGGAATTGCTATTTGTAATGTTGTTGCCTGCTGTGGCTGTTGCTGCTGTGGCAACGCTTAGCGCAGTAGTTGTTCCTGATTGGGTGTTGCCGGCAACAGTTGCTGCTGATGTGCTGCTGCTGCTGACGCTCTGTTGCTGGTGCTTGTTGTTGCTGCTGTTGCTGCTGCTCAGCACCAAATGCTGATGCTGTGGCGCGTACTGGGCGTGCGCGTGACGCAGCTGATAGCCGCTGTAATGGGCAGGTGTCTGCTGCTGCTGCTGTTGCAACGCAGCCACGTGCTGCTGCTGTTGCTGATGCGCAGCGGCAGCTGCAACGGCTGAGTGCTGTAGATGCTGATTGAGCAGAGCTGCGGCGGCGGCCGCCTGATTGTACTGCGCCAAACGCTGTTGCTGCTGTTGCTGCTGTTGCTGATGATGTTGCTGATGTGTATGGGTTGCCTGTTGCTGTGAGGCAGCGACTGCGTAGGCGACCTGTTGCTGCTGTTGCTGCTGCTGCTGTTGATGATGGTGCGCGGCAACGGCGGCCGCAAACTGTGTGGGATGTGCAAAGCTCAGTTGATGGCCCTTGAGCGCAGCTGCTGCTGCTGCTGCGGCTGCGGCGGCTGCTGCTGCTGCCGGCGAGCTAGCGTACTGCAAATGGGCACCGGGTGCGGTGACTGCTGCTGCGGGCACGGGCAGCACAGATACGGCGGCGGCGCACTGGCGCTTGGGCGACGGCGACAACACCTGTGGGGCACTCGCTGGCGTTTGCGGCAGCGTCGGCCTGCGTTTAATCGCAATCGACGAAATGGTGATGGCTTTTTCAAACACTGGCTGCTGGTTTTGTGTGTTGGTATTGGTATTGGTGTTGGTGTTGGGTATTATGGGTGTTGCTGTCGTCAGCGTTGTCAGCGTCGGCGTTGTCGTCACTGCGGGCAGCAGTTGCAGTTGCGGTTCGGCGATGTGGATCAGATGGTGATGGCTGCCCAACAGGCTCTGATTCTGGTAGTTGGCTATGTTGGCGACTCAGTTAAGCTGAAAGAGGGCAATAAAAGCAGGATTGAACCACATTATTGGTTTGCTGGGCAAATATTTGAGCTGCTCTTTCATTATTGCTTTAGAAATATAGTCAAATTTGCAAATAATATTTCCATATTGTCAATAATACTTGTAAGTTTATTTGACATACGACATACATACATACAAATGCTTGCACCCCACAAGATGTGTGGGTGGTGGTCCGTGAGAGAGGGGTACGCAAGAGGCTGCGCTTGAAAAAGCTGCATAATTCAAGAGCAAACATGGCGACAATTCAATAGAAAATATAACACAGTGAGCGAAATCCGAGCATCCAAACTTGTTAAATGCTTCGAGTGAACCAATGGCAACATTCGAGATGTGCTCGTACTGTTTTGTCAACTGAAACTGAAATTTCATCAGCTTTATGTGCTGCAACAAGAGACACCATGTTTCGAATTCGAAAACCAATTAGCGTGGTGTCGAATTTTTGCTATCAATGAAACGAATCTGAGGACCAGATGAAAAATTTATATTTAACGACAAAACACAAAACTTTTTAAAAACTCGTTCATGAAAATAATTATTGCACTTCGATTATTATTATCGATAAAATAAACTTGTGCCTTCGATAGTTTAAGAACCCGTTGAATTCAGTGTATAAGTTGACGAGAACAAATTAAATAATCATGGCTTCTTTTTTATTATCGATAACAATGACATTGTGCCTTCGATAAAAAACTACAAGCTAAATACGCATACTACTGAACCAGTTCTATTTTTTTTATGTGAGCGTACCAGTTAAATGCATTAAATGTAAAAGTTGACGAGACCGATTTAAAAAACAGAGTTCATGAACAATGAACGCGCCTGTGATAGAATAATGATAAGCAGGAAGGCGCTCGTAGAAAATGAGCAAATGAAAGAAAACACAGACAGCATGCAAATTGTGTAGGTCAGTCCCAGACACGATGCCAACAATTCGCGCTGTGTATTTATATTCCGTTTGTATTTCGCTTTCGGTTATCGCCAAGAGCCATCGGCAGTATCCGCAGCTGCTGGCAACTCCAATTGCGCAGTCAAGAAGAGAATCTGAATACAGCTGAATGAGAATAACAGCAACCGCAAAGCAAATAAGCAAACGAAAAGACAGACATTCCGACAGTTTGGACATACAGAATGGGAATCGAATATACACACACACAATTTATACACATATATAAACACATATGCGAAACAACTTGAAAATTGAGCTGACAACAAACCGAAATTGTATTACAAACGGGCGCTCCAAAAATATGCACATAACTAAAGCTATGATCCCAGAGAGATACTATATGTATATGCTGTAGATATGAGTGTTCGTATTGTACAATATATGCACATATTTGACTACAATACACAAACAGGGCTATGAATGCGGATTATAATGGCGCCAGGGAAGCACTAAGGACACACGGCGAGCGGCAACAAGCGACTCGAATCTGTCGCCCATCGACGCCCGAGTATTGTATGTGTATCTGAATCTGTATCTATATCTGTATCTGTGGCTTGGCGACGTCAAGCATCTTAGATACGATACATCGCCTCACTTTACATACGACAAATTATGCAGACAATAAATACGGGAGCAGGGGAATATATAAGTATCCTCTTACACCACCCTCTCTCCTCGCAACTTCCAGTAGCAAAAGCTTGCTAGCCCCAAATGTGTTGCTTTTATTTGGGATGCGGCTATTGGCAACACTTGAGTTAATTGCACACAACGCTTGCTACTCATAATTCAAATTTGAATCGATTAGGCAGACCTTGGTCGGGTTGTGGGATGAGGAATTAGCTACAAGCAAGGGGTGTTGCCGCGGTGTCAGTTGCTTTAATCCCCTAACATTTATAATTAATGGATATGCAAAAACTAATCGCCAGGAAGAATACACGATACATAATAGATGGCAAATATTTAAATAGGCTGCTGTGCCAGCGACGCATGCTAGATTTATGGCCGAAATGCGAACAATTTTGAATTTAATGTCAGCGACCGACAGTGCGTATGCGCAATATGCATACATTTCTACTAACTCTGTTTAAATTTAGGTGTCCAACTCGGTCAATTGTTGTAGATTTCGATGACAAACAATTAGCTATCGCAATTTTCCATTAAATTTAAATGCATGAAAGCCACATGTTGCAGCGGCTGAGGACAAAAATCTCGTGTTCAATATTATATATTATATGAAAGGCAATCTGCGGTGGTCGAAAACTTATTTTTACTGAAATTTCAGTAGCAACATAAAAGCTGGCAAAGAATAATGAGACTTCTTGGTTAAGGGAACAGCTTCAATGCTATATGCTAGATAATGTAGGACTAACTTTGATCTTTTAGCTCAATTATTAGGAAACTGGTATTAGATAGTCGGACTAAAACATTATATTTTACATTTCTCATTTAAGTTGACATTTCCTTTTATAAATGTTAAGGTTTCATTGTATTATATTTTACATTTCTCATTTAAGTTGACATTTCCATTTATAATTGATAAGGTTTCATTGTGTCAACCTACAAAAGCAGCTTTTCAGTATAAAAAGTTCTATAAATTGTAAAAAATACATTTGAAATTTTTTTATAATAATTTTGCATTTTCAACTGCCTGTATTAACTTTTTTTTTATTAGCTCATGCCAATGTCTATATATGTGGTCATCTTAAAGTTTTTATGATCACATCATTTATTTGTAATCGATATTTACAATTCTGTCAGTAATTGCAAAAAGAAAAAAAAAATAAATCAATTCCCAACTAAGAATTGCCAATCTTATGATATTCCGCAGAACATCTGCTTTTTCTCTCTATCGTGCTCTAAAAGTCGAATATTTCGTTCGTTTGTTTTTATTTGTTGCACTGTCCTCTACTGTGGGGTTATGTATAATATGTGCTGTGAAATTTGCACAGCAGCGATAAAGCAACAACAACAACAATTGTGAATTTGCGTTACAAATTCTACCAAACAAAAGCCCTGACAGCAACAATAATGACGCAGCCTTTGTTGTTGTTTATCGTTGGTCTGCCCTGGAAATTAGTCAGTAGAGACTCAAAAGTACAGCACAACAAAAGCAGCAAAAAAACAACAACAACAACAGCCAGCAAAATACTAGTCACACATATTGCTAATGAATTTCCCGCACGCTTGCTGAGCTCACAGCCAGCCAAGTCGCGTCTCTGTAATCGACTTCCATTTTGCATTGTTTTTATAATTTGTATTATTTCTATTTTTTCTCTATATACACATTTATAACAAAAAAACCCTGAAACGGAAGTTGGGCGCGTTTTTGTTGGGGCTGGCGCAAAGCAAATATAATTAAATGTAATTTTTATAATGACAAATGCGTTTTATTGTTGTTCCAACCACTAACCGAAACGCGAAACGAAACTCGGAGGCAGTAGCAACAAATGCCACGCCCTAAAAACCTACCTATATTGGTCGCAAATTGGAGCAATTTACGATTTCCTTGCTCTCGATTTGAACCTTAAGTTTGGCCTTAAATTTACATATCTCTGTCGATTTTTGGAAGGTGCGGGGCAATCGGAAAGTTGCCATCGTGGCACATAATTATCTCCACGATTCCTGCCGCTCGAATTGGGTCAATTGGGCGGTGCCACGCCTTCAGCGGCGCTGATTACATACAAAATGGTCTGGCTGGGCTAGCTGGGCTGTGCTGTAGCTAAACAGATCTATTGTAATAGATACAGTCTGTTGTGTAAAGCAACAGACGCTAATCGATGCACGCCCACGTTCCCATCATCATCATCATTATCATAATGATCATTATGATCGTTGTAAAGAGGCGGAAAACAAGTTTCTCAGCTGCTGCTGTTGCTGCTGCCATAAAAATAAAGATGATTTTGGGCCGGCGGATCACTTGTCAGCAGTTTGGCGTCGCGCAATTGCCAATTGCAACAGCAACAAAAACTGCAGCTGCAACAACAACAACAATTAGCATTGCTAATGGCGGCAGATAAACTAAACGCAAGTGCACGTTACGTGTACCCCGCCCACGTGATCTCAGCCTTTGTTATATATATGTAGATGCCCCCCGCATCTTTTGACCCTGCTACAGATACTCGCTCGCATCCAAAAGATACCTAAAGTCGTAGCTAGTTTTCTATCTATGACCAAATTCGTCAGCTGGGCTCTGGGAGGAGATGAGCTCGAGCTTGAGCAGGGGCTTCAATGCGAGATGGCATCCGCCCAGTGGCTCCGACACCGCTAGACTACAAAATACTTAAAGTGGTTTTGGCCATAAATGTTGCTGTTGTTTTTTGTTGGCATTGTTATTGTTGCTGCGCAGCGTATCGTGCTCACTGTTTGTATCATAATTAATATTTAATAAGCCAGACAACTTTTCTTAAAACTGACTTTGATATACCCAGGCGGCAGATACGTATACATAATACGTTGTGCACAATCATAAAATGGGTATTATAATATGTTAGTCAGTCAAAAAGAAGGGAATCGTCATGACTTGGTTAAATTGTGACCATGGAGGAACGTTGCATGGAAGCATGACTCTAAAATTTGTCTTTATGAGAGGCTCAAATCGAAGTCTTCTGTTCTATCATCAGCAGACCTTGTCATAGAGTCCAGGATTGCGAGAATCTTGATCCCTTAACCGAAGCTTAAACTTGTTGACAATTCCAAGTGACGAAAAAACAGCAAAGCAGGCCAGTTCAAATTTGAATTTCAGCCAATCTGCTCATATTTTGATGTTTATTTATTATATTAGCGGCCTTTTTTATTCTGTATAGGTCCAATTGCACAAATGCGAGCCTGTTTTTCAGGAAAGGTTCTGAAATGAGGAACAGAAACCATTCCTAAAATAAAGAAAAGAAAATTTCTGGGACATCATAAATATGCCAGAATTATTTTAGTATATTTCATTCACATAATAAAATGTACAACAGAGAGATTTAACATATAAAACTAATTGATATGCATTTGAAGGAGAATAAACAGA